GCTGTTCTCGGAGGTCCCCTCCGCGATTGTTGGTGAGTTGGTCCCGGAGGTCACCTGAGGCATTGCCATTGTTCACGTTGCGAGAACCGTGGGAGCTGCGGGACGCCATTCTTTCAGGCTTGCTGTTGAAAGAGAAAAAGAGTAGTGTTGTAGCCTGCTTGAGTATTGGACTCAGGCTCTCAATGAAAGCACCAATGACGGTAATAACGTTACCGGTAAATAATAATATAACAATGCTATAAGAGAATACGATGGTTGTATTGCTTTTGTCTCAGTATAGAAAGTACAATGTGTCCCCTGCTCAGCTGAGGGAAGTTCTATTTATGCTAGGTCCTAACGGTAACAACATGAAGAGTCATCATTGGGGAGCTGAGCTAACGACAAGAATATGAAGAGTCATGAATGAGGCGTTGAGGCTTTAACTCTCTCTCATCAAAGGTGGCATCAATGGTGGCTTCAAAGACAATAAAGGTGACACCTGTTGGAATTCCTAACCGTTGGAGTTCTGCCCGTTGGGTTCCCATGTGATGCTGAGTCAATGCCCATTTGTGATCCGGGTCGGGTGCCAACCCTATTATCCTGTCAGTAATATAATTCGTATTCTGTAATATAATTCCTATTGTAATCTATCTATCTATCTATACATTTATACTATATATAAAAACAAAATCCTGCAATTTTAACTTCTCGCCCAATTCCTAAAAAATCTCTCTTCCTAATAAAATATATTGATTTCTACTTTCCTATTCGTACAAAAATTCTGGGTTAAAAACAAAAACAACTCATATACATTTTGGGTTAATATTTTTCAAACCCCCCTAATAATAAATAATAATTTTTTTTATCGCGCCGCTGGCCGCGGCTAGGAAGTCCGGAATCGGCCTCCTCCGCGGCTGCTTCGCTGGCTGAACCGGCGATTAATTTTTTTTTTTTTAATTTTTTTTATAGGTTGTAAAGTGTCAAATGTTCGACAAGGCATAACTTTTGACTCGGTTGTCCGTTTTGGACAAATGTGTTTTTGAAATTGCGTATTTTTTTGAGATCTATCCACCGCAAACCGCCGTAGGCGGTTTGGCCCACTAATTTCTAAAAAAATGCTTTATTAAATACTTTCTAAGAAAAAACTATCAGAACCTTATGTTTTATTAATGAATTTTTAAATTTTTTAATTAAAAAATATCCTGTGTATTATTTAATAATCTCTCTTTATAATTGGTTAAATTATTTAATTATGGAAAATTAGAGAATAATTAATGATGGTAATAGAAATCCTAGAAGAATATTTAATTATTGTTACATTATTATTTTGACTCACGGAATACAATACAAGAATATTTAATTATTGTTATATTATTATTGTGCCTCACGGCCATTATATAGTAACAGAACTTGAAAAGAAACTAATAATAATAATATAAGTGGTAATAATAATATCTAAAAGTAATTAAGTGTTAATAATAATAGTAAGAATATTAACGTAAGAATTATGATATAGAATAAATCGTAATAATTAATAACTATTGTCTAGGATTAAATTTGGAATTTTCAAGAGATAAGCGACCTTTGGTGAAATTAACTCTTAAATAATTATATATCGATTTAAATATTCTTAATATATTACAACAATTCCATTACGTGCATCGCACGGGTGAAAATACTAGTAAGATTAAAAAAAAAATAAAAAAACAAAAAAACAAAATGTCAGCAAAAAAAATAATAATAAAAAGAATTTGAAATGTGGCCAGCGGGCGCATGCACTGCATAGAAGGGTCTACATACCAGGTAATCAATTGTTTTAGGATTTGAATACAAAAAAAAAAAAAAAAGAAAAAAAAAAGTGAACTTTTTAATTGAATTGTTGGAGCAGCATATATATGCATAGAAGCTAAGGGTCTACATAAAGGTTGACATGTTTTGGTAGTCATTAGTATGGGGGACAAAACTGTCCTCATGAAAAAGTGGATCCATTTTCTTGTAGTTGAGAGTGCTTAATTACAACAATATTACGGAGTAATTATTATCCCAATAACAAGCTAGAGACAAACTCTATGGAAAGCGCAATAAAATGTGCCCTCTCATTTCTTCAATAATTTATTCAATATTTTAAAAATGGCAAGGTTTTTTTTTTCTTTTTTAATCAGTGCGATTCAAAATCTTGCGCAGTAATAAATTATTACAAGTAAATAAAATCCGAAATTCGCAAATTGTTTCCACAAGTATAATAAATATAATGGTAAAGAATAAAAGACACAAGTGTTAAATAAGCTCATATACTATTTCGAAGTGTTTAATTTCCCTCATCAACTAAAACATAATTTACTTGGGCACACTTATCTCTAACAATTTTTCGATTAACTTTTTTTGCAGGTTACCTCTAGATTGTCACTCCACACTGCTAACATGTAATTTTATTTGAATAAAAATGATGATAATGTGAAATTTACTTCCTAATCTCCAGCAATAACACCATTGAGAACCCTCCAACGTGCAAAATAATTTCCGTTCTTCATTTGCCCAAATATCTGACTCAAATAGACAACTAATTGCCTACTAAGCGCACCTCTATAATTGATGAGGATGACAGAGGACAAGAAGATCAATGCTGTGTGGAATGGATTATGGTGTTTGAAGGGACCACTCCTCCTGCCCCTTGTAATAATTTTGGGGTTTCAAATCCCAGTGAACAAGTGAACCAAGATGCTTATAGCATCTCCAACTCAATTCACACCAAAACATCAAATTTCTCTCCTAAATGTCACATCAGAAAGAATATTCTCACATCAAATTTTATTCAATCTCCAACCCATTAACACCAAAACACCAAATTTCTACACTAAAATAATTTAATTTCTCAATTATTACTTCAAATTTAATTAGTTTAATATAACTTAGTTCGAACTTAATTAGTTTAATATAAAATATAACTTTTGATGTAAATAATAATTTTTATTATTATGTTCTAGTTATGTTTAATGTATTTGAAATTTTAATTAATATATATTCAATATTAATCTTGTTTCGATCGTCTCAATAAGATCTTTCAAATGATATAATTTATATTTAATAATACAAACTTTAACTATAAGTATTTAACAAAATAAAAAATTACATATAAAACAATTAAAGGATATATTTGAAATTATCAAAAAAAGCAAGGGCAAAATAGTAAGTTTCCCTCGATTTTATATTTGGCGCGCGGCACTGTTTATTATCACCAAAAAAAATGGCGAGACGACGTAATGGCGCTGCACATTGGAGAACCAAAATTTGGCAAAATGGTGGAATGGCGCTAGAATTTGCAGCTGTTGGAGTTGCTCTTAGTGATTCCAAGCAAAAATGCCCCCTCTCTCAATAGTCAATTCTTCTTGGGCTCTGTCTCCTTCACTTTTGCCATTCTTGTCAAAATAGACCCAAAGCTTGATTCTTAAAAGGACCACTAAAAATACCATGACTTGTCTAAATGGTTGTCCTAAATTCCCAGCCACCCCCACCCATCTAAAGCCATGACTTCGTCCCCATCACGAGTCTCCCACTTCTTTTAGTCATTTAAGATGACCAGAATAAATAGTAGGGATTGAACCAATGAACTCAAGCTCATAATTTGAATTTCAAAGATTACCTAGGAGAATTGTAAACCACTTAATTTGAATCCATGTTGATTACTAATAACTCCCTTGTTTTTCCCCTTAGTCATTAGGATTCCTAACTGCACCCAAACTCCATTATAAAGATTCCTTATCCCAGCTCGCACGGGCTTAATTAGCTCACGGTTCAAATTGAATCACTAGTAAAATCAATTAAAGAATTCATTTTAAAATATTAGGTCATGATATCAATTTCTTAGGCATTATCACTAAATTTGGAATACTAAAAAGAAAATAATGGAGTATTTCAAAAAAAAAAAAAAAAGTAATGGATTTGCTTTATGTAGTGCACTAACAAGGTTTTTTTTTTCTTTTTTACTACGTTTTAGAACGCTTTAATAATAAAATTTTAATTTTAAAATGATTCAACGGGATTAATGTACTTGAGATGATTCAACCATTTTAATTTCATAATCATCAGTTTAATTATTAAAATTTGATCACTCTTATATAACTTAAATAAATATCCTTATAAATAGCTTGTGTATTTTAATGGATCACATTATTCTTCGAACTTTACCTAACAAAGAATGCACATTTAAGCCGTCCCCAGTAACGAATTATAAACACACATTTTAAAATCCATACATAATGTTCTTTATGCCATAGTTTTTTCTTCTTCTTTTTTTTAATCATAACTGACTCAAACTAAGTACATCAAACAAAGTTTGTTTAGTACATTATCAAACAAGAACGAGAATTTTAAACAAACGAGTCATATATAATTTAATTAATGAGGGATACTTTTGCACTAATCTTATAATCAAATAAATGTACACTTTCAAATATTAGAATTGTTTAAAATTTCATCTTTAATTTTATTATCTAAATATATATAGTAAAAAAGTTTATTTGTACATCACACATGCATCGCACGAGTAATTGGACAATTATATGCTCAAATTCAAGCAAGGATAACAAGAAAACATAATCAATCTAATTACTCATTTCATCAATCCATTCCATGCATCAAATATTCTTGTTCATTTAATCTAAAAACTAGAGAAGTAAACGAAAATTATAATTTACGTAATTGTATATCGATTCGTATATTCTTAAAATATTATAACAAATTCATTCCATATAACGTTCCAGTGAAAATTCTAGTTCATTTAATCTAAAAATGAGGTTAGTAAATGAAAAGTCAAGTATAGAAGATGCTAAAAAAGTCATGTTTTGTCCTTTAACTAATGCTATGGAAAACAAATGCACTCTCGTATAATTGTTGTGTACTCTAAATTAATTTAAAGATAGTATCATTGTATTTGTTAATATAATTGTATTAACTTGTCGTTATAATCAAATATATTGATTTAAAAAAAAAAATCAAAGCTTCAAAGTATGATGATATCTACATACAATTAATGCTCTTCTTCCCATTGAATTTACTACAATTAATTTTGGCTAATTATTTTCGTACACTATTTGTTAAATTTGCATCTTCGCTGGCGTTTATTGTAGCTCTTAACACCTCGCTTTCACATCCGCAATCCACAGTCTCTCTCTCACAGCCTTTCTCTGCATAGGCAATCGAAGTTACTACACCAATAACATTTGATGATATCTTCAACAACGAAAAACCTAAAAATTCAGGTATATATGTATTTTAAAACTATATGTATATTAATTCTCTCCATCCCTTGTTTTTAACTGAGATGCTTTTATGCTACAAAATATTCAGATTTCTTCAACTGGAACAGAGTTGTTGTTAGGTATTCTGATGCATCATCGTTTACGAGCAACTCTAAAATAACTGATGAAAATGTACGAACCTGCTTCTTATTATTTTTATTAATTCATTTGTACTGCACATTAATCATATAAATATATTAAATTCCTACTTTTGATTTAAGAGGTTTACACATGCACTTAATCAAATTTTGTCATGGCACTACACTTTATTTTAGAGGTGCAAGAATCTTCAAAGCTGTAATGGAAGAGCTACTATGCCTTGGAATGAGAAATGCAAGAAATGTGAGCATTTCTGATTTTACAAAGCATAGAAATGTTTAACATCACAATATTTACTTGTTTGAAAAAGTCATTAATCTTTATATATGATGTTAATGGGTGGAGGATTCATGAACTTGGTTATCAATATATTACTATTTTCTCTCTCAAACACTCCCTTCTTCTTTTCTATTCTCTCAAGAAAGTAATATATTCAAGAAGAAGGGAGTGTTTGAGAGAGAAAAGAGTAATATATTGATAACCAAGTTCATGAATCCTCCACCCATTATCATCATATATAAAAATTACTGACTTTTTAAAGCAAATAAATATTTGATGTTAAACATTTTTGTGCTTTTTAAAATCAGAATTGCTCACATTTCTTGCATTTCCCATTCTAAGGCATAGTAGCTCTTGTATTACAGTTTTGAAGATTCTTGCACCTCTAAAATAAAGTGTAGTGCCCAGACAAAATTTAATTAAGTGCATGTGTAAATCTCTTAAATTAAAAGTAGGAATTTAATATATTTATATGATTAATGTGCAGTACAAATGAATTAAATAAAATACTAAGAAGCGGGTTCGTACATTTTCATCAGTTATTTTAGAGTTGCTCATAAACGATGATGATCACAATACCTAACAACAACTCTGTTCCAGAAATCTGTATATTTTGTAGCATAAAAACATCTTAGTTAAAAACAAGGGATGGAGAGAATTAATATACATATAGTTTTAAAATACATATATACCTGAATTTTTCTTTTTTAATTTCATTGTTGAAGATATCATCAAATCTTATTGGTGTAGGGTCCGTGGCAACTCCTTTATTTTGGATATAAGCATTGCAATCAGCAAAATCACTACACCACCCTCCTCCCTGCATTCAAGGTATTAAAAATGGATTAAACATTTTGGGTATATTCATAATCATGAAATAATTAATTAACGTGTGGAAGTCGTGAAAAAATTTAAATATATATAAGATATATAATACTAGTAGAAAATAATTATATATACTCAAATATTTGTATATTATATTTAAAGTTTTAAGTCTTACACGAAAATACACAATCCAATTTTTACTACCCCTGCCAAATCCTTTGGAGTAGTAGTAGGTTGCTGGATTTCCAGCTATGCAAACTAAAAAAAAAAAAAAAAAAAAAAAAAAAAAAAAATTAAAATTAAAATGACGAATTCTCATTAGCTAATATATTTATGAAATTTTATTTTTTTAATAATAATATAATATAATATAATGTTCTTAAAGAAGAAATGTCGGCACCATGATCAATGGTATAACTAGAGTTGGATTCACCAAACTATCGTTACATACATGAAAAACATTTTTATTAGCCATTACAGAAATACAATATACCCATGTATTCTATTAAATTAAACTAAATCAGTAAATAAAGTATATTTATATGAGCCATGCAATCTATTCAATTATAAATAGATTTAGACATTAACTACAGTATATTATTTTTGACAAGTAGGATTTCAGGGTGGACATCTTGTCACAACTTAACAACTTAAAAATTCATGCATGCTCAGGTTTTACATATTTAGAAAGAAAAAAAAAAAGTAATTAAGTTCATTAACAAAAAAAAAACAAAAAAAAAAAAAGTTCAGATATACCAGGAGCATGAGAATGAGCAAGGTATGCAGATACTGTCATTTTTAAAAGATATGAAAAAAAAACCAAAAATAATGTTAAATATAGTATATAGACTAGTAAAAACATATGAATCACATTAATCATTAAATCCAACTTAAAATTCTTCTCATGTTTATGAAACAAAATTGTTGCAAAACAAAATAAATAGAAAATGAAAGAAACATATATACTTACAGCTTTCCTCTAGCCAAAACAACAACACTGATGAGTATTATGAATATCTTCATTTCCACTCTAGCTCTGTGAAAAAAAAAATGTGTTTGTAAATTGGAGTGAAGGTGGAAATGTAAAAGGAAATTTGACTGTTTTTTTTTTTTTTTTTTTTTTTTTTTTTTTAACTTTGAAATTGAAAAGATGTACAAATCTATGGTTCTTCGTAAAAGTAGCTTCAATTGTCTATGCAGAGAAAAGACTAAGAGAGAGACTGGATTGCAGATCTGAAGAAGGAAGATAAAGTGTAGAGGAGAGACTGAATTGTGGATGTGAAAGAGAGGCGTTAAGAGCTACACTATTATAGAGAAGCCAAGCAAGCACTTGAGCAATTTAACAAATAGTGTATTAAAATAATTAGCCAAAATTAATTGTAGTAAATTCAATGGGAAGAAGAGCATTAATTGCCTGTAGCTATCACTAAGTAGATATCATCATAGTTTCAAGCTTTGAATTTTTTTTTTTTTAAATCAATATATATGATTATAACGATAACTGATTAACTTTAGTTAATACAATTATATTAACAAATACAATGATAATATCTTTAAATTAATTTAGAGTACACAACAATTATAGGAAAGAATAGAATGCATTTGTTAACCATAGCATTAGTTAATAGGTAATATGGTCACATGATGCTCAAAAGAAATTATTGGAGGAATTTGGATAAATTGAGCTGAAAGGAATGCTTTTAATTGACATAGTATTAATTGGCCAGAAGGCCACATGCTCTTTAGAGTTCAAAGGCAGATAGATCTCCATTTAATGCTAAAACAAATCAAAGGCAGAGCTCCATATTTTTGAGCTGGTTTAACATTTAATGCTAAAGCTGGCATTCCTGCGTCATGCTCCTCCTTCACCTTAAATTCAAAGGGCTATAATTCAAATACCACTTTTTGCTCCCAAGTGCAACTTAATTCTTCAATTCAAAATAATAAACAAATAAATAAATTATAGGTACTTGCTCTTCAATTTCAATTCTGGTCCTATCAAGTTTTTGAGTGAAGAGAGACACTAACAACCACTATCCGAGGGTATGTATTGGTTAAATCACATCTTGTGATCTTAGCCGGTAAAGATTCACAAAAAGATAAAACATCCTAAGTTGTCCATAACTGATCATCTCAATAAGAAAGTCAATAAGTCACAATCACTATTATTATAAAAAAAAAAAATTACAATCACTATTTGATGATGTGCACTAAGTAAATCCCGCTTGTGACCCAAAGCGGTAAACCAACTATTAACTTTTCAATTTTTAATTTTCAACTTAGCTTTTACGTAGTAATAAACAAACCATATATGAACGAATTCATTAGTGCTGATGTATCAATCGCAACTAGAATTGATACATCAGCACAAAAAATGAATTCGTTCATATATACTAGGTAGGTGGCTAGCAGGGGTAATACTAGTTGCGATTGATACATCAGTACTGAATTCGTTCATATATGGTTTGTTCATTGAAAGCTAAGTTGAAAATTGAAAAAAATTGAAGTGAAATATTAAAAATTAATAAATAAATGGTTAGAATTAGGATTATTTAGTTAAATTAATTTTTAAAAAGTTAATAATATACTGTCCAAAGATAATAACACACATATATAATAAAATTAAATATTATATTATATTAAGTGTTGCAAAAATCGCGCCTAGGCGCTGATTAATCGGTGCTGCCCGGCCATGACAAGAAAGGCCGGAATCGGCCTCCTCCACGGCCGGCCGACTAGGCGGCCGGCTGAGCCGGCGATTTTTTTTTCTTTTTTTTTTTTTAGTTGTAAGGTGTGAAAAGTTCGGAAAGGCATAACTTTTAACTCGATTGTCCGTTTTGGATAAAAAAAAATTTTGAAATCGCGTATTTTTTCGAGATCTATGCAAAACAAACAGCCAAAGGCGGTTTGGTCCACCAATTTCTAAAAAAATGTTTATATTGCTCTTAATTTTAGTTTTTATGTATTTATATGGTTTTAACAATATTTTGAACAATTTTACAACCACTTACGTAAATAGTCTGTAAAAAAACTATGAGAAACTTATGTTTTATTAATGAATTTTTATAATTTTTAGTTTTTTTTTTAATAATAAAAATAAAAAAATAAAAAAATAAAAAAATAAAAAAACCGGCGCCTAACGTATTTTGCAACCTTGATTATATTATATATTTAATAAACTGTAATTAAAAGATAATAATATTATAATTATTGTAATATATTTTTAAATGTACATAATAGATATAAAATATGTTACATAATTATATTAAATTTGTTTTAATATTCTAATAATCTAATTAATATTAATTAAGGGAAGAATATTGTTATATAAATATCTATAGAGATTATTATTGTAACATATTAAATCATTCTATACATTTAATTTGAAATTAGTTAGAGAACATTATAAAATAATAAGGAGTTTAAGTGGTTTGTGTGTGTGTGTGTGTTGGAAGAAGGATTATAATTTTGTTTAGTAATATATTGACAATAATAATCAGGACTATGTGGTCCAATGGTATCCGGGTTGGACTTCTATTTGGAAGATTATAAGTTTGAGCCTCAGTGGAGGCGTTATTGGTTCTTTGTGTTTCAGTAGGTTGAGAAAGTATATGAACAGATACTACAATGTAATAGAGCCAGTAACTTTCAAAAAAAAAAAAATATTGACAATAATAATTTTTTAATCAATAAATTATATTCACAAATGTTTTTGAAATATTTTTTCTATAAATGGTATATTATTATATGCAAACTTATGTGTATAATTAATATAATAAGATACATATATTAATGATTTTTACATAATAATAATAATTATTATTAAATAATAAAAAAATAATAATAACATTATGTCCTTTTTTTTTGAAGAAATAACATTATGTCCTTGTCCTCTAATATCTCATAATAAAATATAATATTGTAATTATAATGGAGATGGGTTAAGTTTTAATGTAGATGTTATAGGGTGTCATTTTGTAAAATAATAATGAAAAGCTCAAAGTGTATTTTGAAAAGGCATGACGAACAAGTGAACAACATTTCAAAGTAATTTATTTTTTAAAGCTCATTGTTTATTGATAGTTTAAAAGAGTTAATAATAGTTAGGATCTCTTGACTATTGACATTTACTTAATTAAGTTATGTTTAATGTTTACTAAATTAAATCAATTAAGTAATCAAACATTACTTAAATTTAGAGCTACTATCAACTGGACTCCATCGCCTTTTAGCATTTACTTAATTAGGACAATTATTTAAAAAATCCCTTAAGTAACCAATGGTACTTAAATAGGTTCTCCGTCAACAATTCATCTATATTGGTCCTATATATTGGCTATTCACTGCATCTTTGTTGTTTTAAAAGATTGCATTGGAATTATAATGTTACAAATTTGATTTTGAGTGAGAACGACTTATTGATATTTTTAGTTTGAATTGATCATGTAGAACAACATAAGTGGGTTTATCGGGTTGGGTCACAAGGCAAGATTTACATAGTGCACACCCTCAAGTATTGATCGTAACTTGTTGACTTTCTTGGTTTGAGTCGATCAGTTATATATGAATCGGACAACTTAGGTTGTTTTACCTTCTTGTGAATCTTTACTGGCTAGGGTCACAATACGGGATTTAACCAGTACACACTATCGGATAGTGGCTGTTAGTGTCTCTCTTCACTCAAAAACTTATATTTCAGAGGATCGAAATTGAAATTGAAGAGCAAGTTCCTATATTTTTTTTATTTTTTTTTTTGAAGGGACCTATAATTATTTATTTGTTTATTATTTTCAATTGAAGAATTAAGTTGGGAGCAAAAAGTGGTATTTGGATTTTATCAAGTTGAAGAATTAATGTCTATTACAATAATCACAAATGGTTAGTTTTGTATTAGTGGTTAGTCTAAGGAGTGTCACATTGAAATTATTTACCAATAAAAGAATTACATTATTCGCTCTACTAGGAAGCTTATTTGACCATTTGTAATAAAAGAATAATTGAAAAATGACAGAGCATTTGCTTTGAAGCAGTGGGTTACGAAAGCATTTCCTTATTTAGCTGAAGCATGTACATTGAAAGCTTTCCTTCTCCTTATCAGACTTATTGTCTATTATCTGAATTAGACTAATTACATTTCGATCGAAATACCAATCAGCAAATACCTCTCCATAAGTCTTGTTGCCAATGAGTTTGAGTGTTTCTGATCCAAACAGCTTTGGATGACCTAGAAGAGTCAGTGCGCACAACGGCTTCTTATTTAAGATAGCAATTTGACTTGGTCGAATAGGTGAAAGCTGGGGAACTTAGACCGGTGGAGCTATCATTAACTAGACTAAGCTGGATCTCTAGGTGGCTGACCAGGAGAAGGACTAGCTTAGAAATTATACTCCGAGCAATCAATTTATAGTCTGCGAGTTTGACATTTCGGAACAAACTCCCAGAGCTGCGGAACTAACGAGTCACTCCTTTGGTCTCACGTGTTTGTTTTCACTTCCTCGCACATAATTAAGGGAGCGTAAACTAGTAGACATTTATGCGACTACCAAGGCGATTCTCCCTACTATAGGGAGAGAACCCCAATCCAAGCTCTGGGACTTCTGATTTGACTCTTTCTGGTGAGTGAATAGCCTGAAGCATTCCTTCCGAGTGAGGTGTTGAGAAAAATGCTCCATCAGATCGGTTGAAGTGCTCATTAAGGTTTTACTGAATAAGAGAGGAAAACTAATAATCAATTCAATTACATCAAGACAGAAGGACTTGAAGAGTATATTGAAGGAGACCTCGCCGGAAAATCCCAACTTGCTCGTTGAAAGGACGAAAGGATGTTATTTAGGAAAGGAAAGGAGATTAGTCTTTCTTTTCTTTATTATGAAAGGGCAGGCAAATGCACTATATATAACTCTATATCCTATCCGCCTAACCATAAATCTTTACAAAAATTATAGTTTTAAGAGTTAATTCCATTACCAAAATGATATTGTGGTCTTAATGGCACAAAGTAATTTTTTTGAAGTTGAAGCCATGGGTTCAAGTGCTAGTGGGGGCAGTATACTCTTTGCAACTTGCAAGTTTACTTTTAGTCTTTTTTTTTTTTTAAACATCACATTTAGTTCTAGTATTAACGTGACATGATCCTTTGTCAAAAAAAATCGTAGTAAGTCTACTTTTGGTCCTTTAAAAAAAAGGAATAAGGTTCAAATTGGCCACTGAACGTAACCTAAAAATGCAATTAAGCCACTGAACGAAAAAAAA